GGCACCCGGGTTCGATTCCACCCTTGGGTTATGAGTGGAGTTTGCTTTTGCTCGTGTTTGCATCGGTTTCCGCTGGGTGCTCCAGTTTCCTCCCTCAGTCCGGAAGATGTGCAAGTTAAATGGATTGGCCATACTAAATTGTCCAAAAAGTGTTCAGGGATGTGTAGGTTAGCCATGGCAAATGCAGGGTTTCAGAGATAGTGTAGGGCATGGGTCTGGGTGGGATGATCTTTGGAGGGTTGGTGTGGACTTGTTGAGCCAAGTGGTCTGCTTCCACACTGTAGGGATTCTATTCAAAGAGTATATGGCCTTCTAAAAAGGGAGATCAAGGGACATCAAGGTCCAGGTTGCTTCAATCAGGTGAAGGGTATGGCTTGGCAGAGACTGTGGAAGCTTGATGTCAAGGGGATCTGGGGCAAGGGTAGGGCCAACGGTTACATGATCGTGAACACACCAAAGGAGACAAATATGAAGGGTCATGCGGGCAATAGAAATAGCAAATTGGTAGGTGTTGTGTATTTCTGCAAGTATGGTGGACTGTCACCTTAAGAGTCTGCACACAGTAATGTCAACATCACCAGCCACTTTGAGCAGGAAACAACTTAGTCTGACCTTGCTGCCTGTACAGTAAACACCTCCATAATAGGGTTCAGCCTCCTGGTCCTATTTGGAACATAAGTGAGGATGAAACAGAAATGCAGTGTAGGAGAACAAACTTGGAAGAAGGTTGAATCTCATGCTGAAAGTCTCAAACTAACTGTACAACAAAATTAAAATACAATGGCTGCAATCAGTGTGGGAGTATTTTTCATTTGTGAGGGGTAGTCGGAATTATATTTTGTGTTAGCCAACTGAAGTGATTCTCTATAAATAAGGATGGACAAATCAGGTGTAAATGCCCTCAATTGTTACATGCCAACACATCAACAGTCCTTAAGTAATCTCATTCAGTGAGATCTTTTGGAGTCAAGCATCCTGGCTGGATGCTGGTTCTACACATGGGCAAGGATAACAAGAGCTTGATTTAAAGGGGAATGTGCATTGCTGGCAGTGCTTGCATGCAAAGGCCACATTAGAAAGTTTTAGTTTCAACCTCCCTGAAGGCAAGCTGACTATTATATATGGGAAGATACATTCAGTACCCCAGGCAACACACTTCAACCTGGCGAACAGCAGCCCATTTGCGCAAGGAGCTGTCTTTTGAAGCCACATAGGATGCAGTTTCCCATTCAACATATGTTGGTTGAGGAGGCCAGCAGCTACATGGCAAAGATCATTGTGTGACAGTCTGGTAGCACAGAAGTATATGAGATACATGACCAATCTGCATGACACGGTCTCCGTAGATCTTCAAGATAGTAGAGATCAATCTGGCCATTTTACAATCAGAAGGCACCACAGGCATCAACTCATGTAACAGCTCGGAGCTACAGCAGCAGTAACAACAGGAGCTAGCAACAGCACAACAGCCTGTGGAAGAGAGCTCATGAAGATGGGAAAGTGTTGGTCCAAACCACCTAGATTCAGCAACACTTAGTTGCCTCAATCTTTTAGCCCTTCTTGGCATCTGCAGGGGCAAGAGCTACCACCTACACTGGCTCAGGACATCTGTCAGGGATCCAAAGAGTGATACGGAGGAGGGGTTCAACACTGTGCACACTTCCATTAGGGCCATTGTAGAACAGACCACAGGACTCCAGAAAATCAGTTGCTTAGATTGGTCAGAATATGCATTACATATAGTCCGACAGAGTGACTTCCATCATAGCACTCTCTACAACTCAACAAAAAGGTGGGGGGAGCGGTCTTGGAACACAACAAGATAGAGGAACAGATGGTCACCTCAGGAGAGGAAGCTGACAGTGAAGATCCTGGGGTAGCCCAAGAGGGCCCTCAGAATTAAAGATTACAGGGCTATGGTCTGACATGCCAGCGAGGCACAGGGAAACCCCAATGCCACCCAGTTCTGGGTTACTGAGCTACAGCAGATTTATTTTACTATTCTGTCTGTAACGGACCAGCTGGCTTGGACCAGTTTCATTTTGTGCAATTGTCTGGAATAAAAACAAAGGACTTTTTATCTGCTTGTGATGTGAAATTTGGAGGCAGGAATCCTTCAAGAATCCTAGTTGCTATGTTAAATGTATACACCTACTACTGAAACAGAGTGGGTACTGCCACAGTCAGGGATTCAAGACGGGCTGCAATTTTCTGGGCCATCCCATCAATATGGGGAAGGCCAATTAGGGAGCAGTCAATCTGGAAAAGGCTCCTCAGGTCTGCATCATCTCACCTGATGTCATTAGTCCCATTTCTGCCCCCTCTCTCACTCTACAGTCCTGTGCAATGTTAGGATCCTACACTGTACCATTACAATAGCTGCAAATTCTTTGAATCAGCTTCCACTATCAGAAAGTCAGCAAGTGCACAAATACCAACACCTCTTCATTAACCTCTTCCAAGGAATGGGTAGAGCTACCGCTAGGTTCACGAAAGGGAGTACATTGCTGACGTAGCAAGACAAAGTATTCGGAGACAAGGGAATAATTTCCTTGCAATGCTTCCTTTTCAACCAACAATGCTGAGGCCTTGCAAGGAAGTGAGACTACAGCAAACATTAGAACACTGAAAGTAAATATCAATTTATGTCACATTTCTATACACTATTTAAACACCCATGCCAATGTGTCTTTAGAAACATTTATTTTTGTTTGCCTACCACAACAGAGCGTAGGCCTGACATATACAGACAAGGGTGGAATGATCCTATTGACTGGTATACCTTGATGACTTTGAAGACACTGACAAGTATCCTCTATGGCCTTGGGGACTGGAGCACCTGAAAGTCTCCTGAAAAGATGCAGGAACACCTTTCTTGACCTGATCTGCAGGCAATGGGGTCACTGGAGGGGTGGAGAAGAGCAGGGCATCTTCTGACCTTTGAGATAAAATTCTCCATATGCCTCTTGATCTTCCTCACTAAGAGCCTCCTGGCATCACCCTGCTCTCTGACAGTCCTCAATGTCAGAAACTTCAGGTTTCACTGACTCGTGGACATGTTAGTGATGTGCTCACTGGATTGTGAGCTTGTATACACCGTCAGTTCTGCCATAACGCACGTCTTTTCAATGCAAGTTAGCTTTAGCGCCATTGAAGAATTTAGACTGCTATTTGTAAAATGTGAACTTTCCTTATCTATATTGGCTAAAACGCAGTTCTGGTCCCATTAGTTTAAATGGTGCAGCTATTGCGCGATTTTCTTATAACGCAAATTCCATTCTCGTGCGATCTATCACATTGTCTAGAATACAGTCGGTTCTGATATAAAGTATCCATTGAAACCGGTGTCTCTGTGCTGGGGAAGGTGAGGTGAATGCTTTATCAGAATATCTTCTGAGGTTTCACAAGCTCCATTCTCAGGAGGTACTAGTGCTGGAGAGCTTCAAGTGCCTCATCAGTTTTGTGGAAGAATTAGTTGGTGAAGCAGCACAACCTCTGCATAGTGTAAATGCAAGAATGGCTGCATTTTTGCAAGGAGGAGACAACAATGGTGCTCCCTGGCTTCTGCAGTGCATTGGCAGAGACTGGTCTTGGTCCTTACCAGTCAACCAGATTGCATTTTCTTCAAAAACTGATGATGCTGCAGAGATCAAGAAACCCTCTGCCAATGTGGGCCTTTTTAAAAAAAACTGTACCCATTTATCCTGCATTGACAGGAAGGAAAGAGTGGAGTATGAAGGGAACATGTGCATAAGCACTTGATGAGCATACATAGCCTTACTAAGCAGTGATCCGTCCCCAGTGAGTCAATAGGAAAGCAGTGAGTGTGGGAAGTATTAGAAGACTGTCAGCATTAGGTAGGTAAGAACCCTTCAGAGATGGCAATGTTGGCATGCCCAACTGACATGGTTATATTTTGGCAGCATTAGACTGAGTGATGGCTCTACGATTGCAATGAGATTGTGGAACATACCCTTTGGAGAGGGTAGAGTGTGTTCATCCGCTTCCTGCGCTTGGTCCTGCTTTGTTTTAGGCTGCTGGAGTCGCTGACTTCACGTGCAACTTGGGTCCAGGTTTCCATGATCCAATGAGATAATCTCCTCTGGCAATCGGAGGGAAGAGTATCTGCTTTCTGGCTCAGCTAGCCTGGAGCAGAGCATTCAGGGAATATTTAGTAACAGAAGGGGTGGTCTTTAACTACCATAACCTTTGACGCTGGAGGGGTGGGAGAGGCAAGAACTTCCACTCAACATCTGCATGTGATTTAACATTTAAGTTGCCACAGAAATTGCTTGAATACAAAATGAGCTGGAAAACAAATAATCACTAAAAATTCACCATGGGCCATGTGTGCTATCCAAAATGCCTACCACCATATTTGAACTGTAGGAGGGAAAATTCTGGCCTATAATCACTGAACAGCATAGCAAAGAATGCTTTTCACAGCTAACTAGCAGCACAGGATACTCAGGAACAGTTTTCCAGTCTAGGATTTGTGTAGCTTGGGAAAAATTAGATTGGGAAAATTCCTCATTTTCCCTGCTTCCCCCATCCAAAATAATTGCAGATGGGATAGGAGTCATTCAATAGACTGAAAGAGACTAGACATTAGACAAAACATGTTTATATACAACAGTATTAGGAACACGTGTCAAAGCTGCTCAAAAGTTGGACTATGTCGATGCGACCAATTCCCAAACAACACTAAGATGCAATAGACACAAGTGATCATGAACACGGAGAGAGGGGAAAAAGTAAGGAGATGGGTGCTGCAAGTTATGTAATGTAGAAAATACAGAAATATTACTCCTTCAATCTTGCGGTGAGATGAGGAGGGAGGCAAGAATGATGAATAGATGACAACATTTCCTTTAAGCACATCTAGTTCTGAGAATTGGTAATATTTCAAGCTTCAGAATGTAATATTATGTTCTTAGTCCTAGAGGATAGCAACAATTAGTTAAATTGGGTGAAAAATTTATAATCTATTTGAGCAGTACCTTTCTTCTTGAAATTGAAAATTCTTTCTCACATTGTTTGCAGGATGTTGCTTCATCATCTTTCAGCCAGGCATTTCCCTGCCAATAAAAGAAGTTCAGCAAAATGGTGATCAACTAGTTTGGTGTTACATTCTCTTTATTTAGTTAAGCATTTTAATTCATGTAAGTTATTTGCAAAAAAAAAAAAAAAAACCCGAGATCATCTTAACCATAATACAAAAACATTTTCACAAAACACGAAAGCTGAATTGTTTGTGTTATAGAAACAATTTAGAATAGAACTTACACAGATAACCAAGCAAACAAACAAAACATTAATCTTTTATGATCCAAAGCTCTAAAAAAAAATTGCGAAGGTTTGCTGCCAGAGAAAAATACCTTTAATGCTTTATTGACCTCTTTAATGTCCTCCATTTTCAATTTTGATCTGGAAAAAAAAAAGTTAAAATCATTTATAATGCTAGACCACCGATTTAAATTAGTTTAAAACCGATTTGACACAATTACTTCCATTTCCAAAAAGTTTGAGCCATATAATCCAGATTAAATAAAAAAGTGGCAATTTAAAGGTCAAAATTTCCTGAATCATTTTATGTTGTGAATATATTGAGATCTATGTTAAAATTGCTAAACTACTAAATTCATTACAAACTTAAATCAACACAAACACATATTTGGATCCACTTAGCCAAGTATTACTTTCAGTATTTTATGCTTTTACCTTAAGCTAAAGGGCAGAAATGAACATCAAGTTGAAAACAAGCTTTACAAAAATACTGAAGTAGTAGTGACTTACTGACTAAGATGGAGTCCCATTTCTTGTAATGCCTGTTCCTGTCCTTCGCAGATCTTGTGTAGTTGTTTTTTCTCATCTTGCAATGTCTCCATTTCCTATAACAAAAACAATCTTTCACTGCAAATGGTACAACTCAAACCATTAAATATTCCAATGCCAGATTCTAGAATGTGGAACACTACTTTTGTAAAAATTCAAATAAAATTGTAAACATTATCCACTGACTCAAATTTATTTTCTGCATATGGGAAAATTTAACTACTGGAACCTACCAAAATGGTTACCTTTTTATTTTATATTCTTTGCCACTCACGGGCCAACTACCTGACAATTTGGACCAACTATTTTGTACACAATTCAGCTTTTAAGCTATGATATCACATAATCAACAAACATCACAATGGATGCCAATAAACTAGTATCTTAGATTTGGTATCTTATGTGAAGACGATATCAAGGAACTGCTCACTGGTTGAACAGGACTTTCATAACTGGGCTGAATCATGATCGGTCAGGAATAAAGATTTTATGGACTATAACAGAATGGACATAATTTGTGATAAGTACAAGCAAAGACGATAATGATGATCACTTATAGAAAACATAGCTGAACTCCTTCACAAGGACCCCAGTGCTTTAGGATGTGATATAGAGGAAACTTGAGACCATGGTAACCTAGAGCATTAAAATCATCTCCAGTCCAAAACAACATGTTTGCCTGCCACAGACTGGAAAATTTGGTCTTCAGTTTGGAATTTGCTCTAGGAAGTGCTCTTGAAACAAAGGCATACTTTATATAGTACTTTCCTCATATTTTCCTGAATAATCATTCTTTTGAAGTGGACTTCTTAAGCAGAGGTTAAAGGGGGGACACAAAGGGAGGAAAATCATAGTACACTGCACCTTATTTTCCCCACAGTGGGCCCCAGGACATGTCTCCTCTCATTACTTTACACAGTTTGGAAGAAAATTTTTCTATTCCCCAAATAATAAAACAAAAAATGTCAAGTATTAAAAGACCCAAATGAGAGGAGAATAGTGGAATAAAGATAACAAATTACACAGAATCAATGCCATAGAAAGTGTTAGAAAAATTATACCTATGGATATATATTTTGGATCAGTTTTCTTAATGTGCTCACATACTATTTATCACAGTATGTACCTGTGGATTAGTAGTTCTACAATGCTAGAATCTGTATCTCTAAATGATGCAACCTAAATTCAATAATGGGATGAAGTTTAGATGGTACAACTGCTTTGAAAAGTGTGGTGAGCAGCATATTTTGTTCTGGAGTAAAGTTTCTGCTGGGCGAACAATTGTTGCCAATTTGGATGATAACTACAGGAAATAAAATGTTTGGAACTAGGAATTTTTTTAAAAAGCTGTGAACGACAAGTGTTTGATTTCATCTCAAACAACAGACAAGCTTGTCTGTCACATTCACATGAAGAAATCTGCAAAGTTATGGAAAAATGAACACTTCTTTCTCAGATGGGGAACAGACTGTCTGCATTCTAACAGGTTAGAATGAATTGCCTTTTGGTCTGTCAATACACACGAAATTGTTCAAGACTGGAATTTAGCTCACTTGTCTGGTCAGGACATTAAGACGTGAATAATGTTTTTGGAAATTGCTGAAACCCAAACCTCTCTGTTAATGCTCAATTTGTTTGGAACCATGTGTGTGGGCAATGGGAAATCAGACACCATGGTTCCGTGACAGAAACAAGCTTGTAATGACAATGTTTTAACACAAATAACAACCTCAAATCTGAGAGACAAGGAAATTCAGTGGGAAGAGATCATGCCAAGCAAAGAAATGCACCTGTTTTCATCTTAGCAGCTCAAATTGTGCCTGGAGCAAAGCTAGGAACCTAATTCTGCAAGGAGCAAAGCACGGTGAAGCCATTGCCAGAAAGGTTCAACCTCCATTTTGTTCAGTAAACCAAAACAGAATCATCAGGCCTTCAATGCTTTAAGCTTCCAATTTGTAGGGATGATATTTTGAACTGTTCAACAACTTAAATGCATGCCTCTTTTGCAATCACCTTGTGTGTATGCACCATTGCAAATACATTTGACTGTTGAGAAATAAACATTTAGTTTTTTTTTTAAATTTAACCTATGGGAAAACTGGTTTTGTGTTTGTTTCTAAAGTCACACTACTCAAGGAGCTATAACAATTCCACTTCAACACAACATAGTTTGGTCATTCAAGAGGTAGAAACTGGAAGTCGGGCAGGGAGAGAAAAGATAACCTTGGGCTGCTGTGCAGCTTTGCAAATCAGCCAAAACATTGATTAACATTTAACCGGCTAAAACAGTGCTGTTGAGCTGTGAGGATCAAAAAAAAAACTGCCCTCCAGCTAACTTCTCTGACTTACGACAGCTGAAGGCACAAATTGGGCACAGTTTGTCCATAACAAAGTTTCAAATCCTGACAGGGACGAATCTACTCACTTGGCTCTACTGGATTTCTCAAAAGCCCCTTTGAAAGTATCTCATAAGCTCTCGTTCAAATTTCACTATTATCAGAGGGACATTTTAAATTGGATGCAGCACTACCAAGAAGGCAGAGTGATGCATAATACGGAATCATTCTTTCTCAGATGTCCTCTCTACAGCACCTTAGGGAACTGTGTTGGGACCTTACCAACAAACATTAAATGAACTTCTCAATAAATTACAAAAAAACAGGCATGACTATTTGCAAGAAGATTGCATGGTCTACACATCAGGGAAAACTCAAAAGATCATATCAACTTATTTCAAAATGATCTGGAATTACAAAAAGGCAGGACCAATGCAGATGGCATTCAGTACCAAAAAAGAAATGCCTTGTCATGAACATGACCAACAAAAGTGATTCACCAGCATACAGCTTCAAGTTTGCAAAAATAAATACTGCAACAGATCAATATACAACCAAATCTACATGGTTCAGCTTCAACGGGGATTGCATATTCAGCACACAGCATTCAAAGCAAATAAGATTCTTGGATTGTTGAAGAAGAATCTTTGGTATTGCTAAAATTCAACAGAACTACAATTTAGCAAACATTTGCTCATTCAGTCCTGGAGGATGATATGTGGAATCCTTCTATGAGGAGAGATACAAATAAAACTCAATGATGCAAAGATGTATTGCACATGTCTGCACAAATCAAGCCTGGAAATAGACAGGTATCACGTCCTTGACCAAAGATTGGGAATGACAATTACTATAGCAAAAAAGTGGGAGCAAACTAGTCTGGCCATGATCTGTAAAAATGAAATGAAATGAACTGGTGGCAATTAACATAAGCAACAGTGTCGTATGACAATGATAAAGACAAAATATGAGGCGACGATCCACAAAACGATTTGTTTCCAATATAGTCTTTCTTTCAAAGAGTAATCTTCAAGACTCATCATCTCCAGTCATTAGTTTTTCATCTGTATGACATACATTACAATGGGTCATGTCCAGTTCATGATGTTGGTGAAATACAAATGTTAGTCCCTGATGTCAACAACTGAAGTAGTAGCATTTCTTGAACCTTCACCATTCAAATTCAGAAGTTTATCTTAAGAAAGAACTTTAACGATCATTACCAGCCAGTGTAGCAAATATGCTAGAATTATGGAGCCATTATATCTCTTGTTCGAAAGGCTGTAATTTACAAGATTTATGAATTGTTCAGTGCCATTTCAAAACAAAATTTATTGCATAAAAAACATCTACCTTCTCTAAGCCGGACTTCTGCAACAGCTGAGCTTTTAACTGAGACGTTACATCCCTCTCTTGTTGCAACTGTTGCTGAAGACTTTGCCTTTGTTCCTTCTCAGCTTTAAGTTCAGATTCCAATGTAGAGCTATAGTTAAAAAAATTAAGCTACTATAGTTAATTCCTGAATTTGACTCGTGTCAGTTTTAAAATGCAGATTATTGACAATGTGGCCCATCTGCCCAATTCAGAACTCCACAATCAAGATGATGCCATGCTTTGCATAAGGAAATACTTCAAAAGCATGTTGTCTATAGTAAAACTGCCATTCAAACGCCGTTCTAACACGGCCTGTCCTTTAAAATAGCATTTAAAAATCATAGAAGATAATCCAAGGACCAAGTATGTAAAAGGACCATGGAGGAGAAGCAACTTTTTGTTTTTGCATTTCTCATCTACTCAACTGACATTCTTTAGATGTTATTGACTAGGAACATTTAGGTAGATGTGGTAACATTAAAACCCAACCAAAATTAATTAATATTTAATAACATTCAAAAGATCATAGACTTCAGGGTCATAAAATGGGCAGGTGCAATTCAATATCTTGGTGTCCATGTATTCAATTTCCTAAAAGTAGCAGGGCAGGTTCAGGTATTGGCTAAAAGGAAAAAACGGCATTGAGTGACTTAATTTATAAATGGAAGCACGTAGAACATAGTAAAAAAAAAAAAGACAATATTAAAGCTTTATCAATGGTTAGAGCTCACAGGGTTATTATGAACAATTCTACCACCACATTTCAAGAAAAATTCTAAAAGCTTTGCATTTATGCAAAGGAAACTTATAGGACGTTACCAGGAACAAAGGGTTTCAGTTGAATACAGCAGGGAAATTTAAAAAACTCTTCTCCTTGAAGCAGAACATTAAAAAAGTAACTTAATGGGAACTTTCAGGTTGAGAAATTTTGTTGCGAGTAATTAGTGAAAAAAGTTTTCTCCAGCAAAGTGCTCAAGAACCGCGTCATGGATTATAATTATAGGCACGAGCTCCAGAAGGAAAACGAGAATAATGGTTTTGGAATTATAAAGGATCTGTATGTTTTTCTAAAACAAAGTCATTTAAGATGATCCTAAAAATAAAAAATTTTAGGAACAGGGAGATGGAGAAGTACTTGAAGAAAAACTTACAGGACTTTGCTTAATTTATTTTCCTGATGTTCCTCAAGAGCTAGGAGCAACAGTAGGCAATTCAGCCTCTCAGGCCTCCTCTGCCACTTAGTATGATCACAGCTGATGAGCCTTGACTTCAATTTACTGCCAGCTCCCCATATCCTTTAATCCATTACTAATTAAAAACTGATCTATCTTTTCTTTAAATGTATTCAGTATCATGGCACCCACCATACTACAGGGTAGTGAATTCCACAGATTCATGACCCAATGAGAGGGGCAATTCTTCCTCATCTGTTTTAAATCTGCTACCCCCTTTGCTTAAGGGTATGACCTTGCCTTCTAGATTTCTCCACAAGGAGAAAACTTCACTACTTCTATGTTGTCAATCCCTTCAGTATCTTATGTATCTTAATTAGATCTCCTCTCATCCTTCTAAACGCTAGCGAGCATAGGACAAAACTGCTCAATCTCTCTCTTTCTGAATGGCAGGCAGTGACCAGTGGGGTACCATAGTGATTGGTACTAGGACACCAGCTATTCACAATGTATGTTAACGGTTCAGATGAGGGAATAAATATTATATTATATCTCAAAATTTACAGACGATACGAAGCTGGCTGGATGGTTGAACTGTGAGGAGAATGCAGAGATGTTGCAGTGCGATTTGGCCAGGTTGAGTGAGTGGGAAAATGTATGGTAGATGCAAGAGAATAAGGATAAATATGAGGTTATCCAATTTGGTAGCAAAAATTGGAAGATAGATTATCTGAATGGCTGAAAATAGAGAGAGGAGAATGTTCAACGAGACCTGGGTGTTCTCGTGCACCAATTGTTGAAAGTAAGCACACAGATGCAGTAGGCAGTAAAAGGCAAACTGTATGCTGGTCTTCACAGTGAGAAGATTCAAGTACAGGAACAGGAACGTTTGGCTGAAATTATACAGGGCATCGGTGAGGCCATACCTGGAATACTGTTTTGGTCACCTTATCTAAGGAAGGTTGTTCTCGCTATAGAGGGAGCACAGCGAAGGTTTATCAAAATTGATTCCTGGAACCACAGGACTGACGTGTGAGGAAAGATTGAAGTTGGTTAGAATTGTATTCAGTGGAGTTTAGAAGAATGATGGGGAGGATCTCAGAACCCTATAATATTCTAATAGGACCAGACAGGTTAGATGCAAGAAGAATGTTCCCAATAGTGGGGGTACTCCAGAACCAGGGGTCATAGTTTAAGGATAAAGGGAAAAACCTTTCAGGACAGAGGAGAAATTTCTTCACCCAGAGACTGGTGAGCCTGTGGAATTCACGACCATTGAAAAAGTGGCTGAGGCCAAAACATTGTGTGTTTTCAAGGAGGAGGTAAATACAGCTCGTCACTAAAGAGATCATGGGATTTGGGGAGGCAGCACTAGTATATTGAGCTCAACAGCCACAATCATACTGAATGGCCGTGCAAGTGGAGGAGTCAAACGGCCTTCCCTTCTATGTTTCATATGACAAGCCTTTCATCTCTGGAAATAATCCAGTTAAGTTTCTCTGAAGTCCCTTCAATGCAATTACATCTTCAAGTAAGGGGACTAAAATTGTATGTAGCACTACAGATACAGTCTCACCAATGCCTTGTACAATAGCAAACACACTTCCCTACTTTTATACTCCATTCCTTTAGCAACAAATGCCAAAATTCATTTGCCCTCCATATTACCTGCTGTGCCTGAATGCTAGGCTTCTGTGACTCATTCATTCATGTAAACATCCACGGCCCGCTGCATAAATTATTTTGAAGTTTCTCTCTATTTAAATAATAAGTTGCCTTTTTATTCTTTGACAAAAATGGATAAGCTCACTTGTCCACATTAAACTCCATCTGCCAAATTCTGGTCCATTCAGCTAACCTATCCATATGTAAATTTTTTGTTTCTTTGTTTCAATTTACTTTCGCACATATTTTATTGTTTTTTTGCAAATTTGGCTGTAGTACATTCTATTTCTGCATCAAATCATTAATATAGATGATAAATATTTGGGAGCAAAGGACCAATCCTATGGCATCCAACAAGTTAGTTTGCCAACCGGAAAATAAAAGCCATTTATCACGACCCTCTACCTTCTTTTGATTAGCAAATTCTCTATCCAAGCCAATATTACCCCTAATCTTATGTGATCTCACCTTGCGAATTAACCTTTTGCACAGCAAAAGGTCTTCTGGAAGTCTAGATATACATTATCTACAGCATCTCTGCTATGCACTTTGCTTGTTACATCAAAGAGAACAGGCAACTATTGATCAAACAGCCTCCTATTTGCAGTCAAGCTTCCAGTTCAAACATTATTAGAAATTCTTTGGCATTCTGCATAGTGAAGTTACCATGTTGATATTTGATCAATCACATTAAGCTTTTTTTTTTGTTTTTTTTAAAAACCTATTTTTCTAATCAACCTGCTCAGAAGTGTTATTACACACCACTGCAGCAGGTGGAACTTGAACTCAGGTCTCTTGGTCCAGGATAGGGCCACTACCACTGCACCACAAGAGTCTCTTCTTGTTAAGCTTTACAATTGTCAAGTGTTATGAGAAACAGATGGTAGATTTAGTTGTTCAAGTACCAATGAATAGGGGGCAGTTGTAACACCGGGTGAGGGATGAAAGCTGAGAGACTGGAAGTGTCAATAAACTGTCTGCACAAAAGAAAGCTTGACCATATTCCTTTCTATCTTGCCAGCTGTATTTCAATTTATTAACAACCAGGTTACATGGTACTAAAGGAATTAGAAACTACAATCATATTCTTAGATTTTTCTCCACAAGTAGAACCATAGAAGATAGCAGAAATAGGCCATTCCAACCACCGAGTCTGCTCTGCCCTTCATATGATCATCGCTGATCAAGCTCAATTCCCTAATTCAGCTCACACCTCATATCCTTTGATTCCCTTTAACCACAAGAGCTTTATCTACTACCTTCTTGAAAACATAATGGTGTGAAGAACCGGTGAAGAGGTACCAGTATTAGCCACTTGAGAATTTCTAGTCATCTGATAGATCAGTTATCTCCATTATGGTTTACAGTACGGCTATATGACCAATGATTCCTTCGCCTTAATCATCTTCGATTGTACTTTCCCCAATCTGAAAGTAAATATAAATATTTCTAAAACATTCAACAGGATCTTGCAGGGTCACATCTACATCTACCATCTTGGCTCCCACCAGAATCATAGTCATGACTTCCCAGTTCCACCTCAAAATGTGGCACTGCAACAGTTGGTAATTTCATTCATAAACCTCCCAACAAACTTTGATGGCTGTCTCTCTCATTCATCATTATTTGCATCAAACATCTAAAACATACCCATCCTCATCTGTTGATTCTACTTTGCATTCAACAGTTTAAATTAACCTCAAGCCAATATCTTGAGAGTTGCCAGTATTGAGGCAATGATTCAGTTACTTGTGCGATGTCCATCTTTTGAATGTATACTTTGATGTCTTACCGTTGTTTGTCCAATTCACTGATCTGCCGCTGGAGATTCTCAATCTTGCTAGCAAATTCTCTCTCAATCTTTTGATTTTTTTCTTCTGCTAACTGTCTAGTTTGTTCAGACTGTTGCAGTCTAAGAGTAAAACAAACGTAATGTCAATGAACACAGAATTAAGAGGTATCAGAAAGGTTGAATTTTTTGCACGAACATTGCTAGGAATAAGGTAGCAACAATTAATTATTTAGCCAAGCAATGCTCATCTCTTGCTTACCACAATATAATTCTAATTTCCTACCAGTGAACTGTGTACTCATCACATTGGCCTTGAATGGTTCCTTCTTTGTTCCTTTGCGTATATCAACTTTAGTACCCCTTACTGTTTCCTGGGATGGCAGAACTGACATTTGAAGAGAAACTGACTCCATTAGGGCATATTCACTGAAGTTTAGAAGAACGAGGGAGTGACCTCATAGAAACCTATAAAATTCTAACAGGACTAGACAGGGTAAACCTGGGAAGGATGTTCCCAATGACCAGAGGGTCCAGAACCAGGGGACACAGTTTAAGAATACTGGACAAGCCATTCAGGACTGAGATAAGGAGAGATTTCTTCATCCAGAGTGGCGAGTCTGTGGAAGTCATTACCACAGAAAGGCTGAGACCAAAACGTGGAAGATTTACAGAGTTAGATACAGCTCTTGGGGCCAAAGGGATCAAAGGATATGGGACAAAACTGGTAACAGGGTGCAGAGTTGGATGATCAATCATGATCATACTGAACAGCATAGCAGGCTCAAAAAAGGGCCAAGTGGCCTACTTCTGTTCCTAAATTTCTACTTATCTTTTTTGCTTAGCTGAGGTATTCAAACAAACATTCACCAATACTGCCTTTGCTTAGCTAAGATATGTTTGTTTCTTGGGTGCACTGTCATCAAGTTACCTCCCACCACTCTTGGTAACTATCCAATATCCACGTCCATTGGCAGACCACTAAGATGAGGAATTCAATATAGACAGTGGGCAGAGGGTTGGGGTTGAGAAAATAAAAAAAGGTGAATCAATACATTAACATACCTGTTTGCCAACACACTGCACTTGATGTTCTTTTACTTTGCAACAATTCCAGCAAACAGCTATTCCATTTGAATGTCAATGCTTTCATTTAAACTTAAAACACAAAATTGTGTACAGTGCAGCCTGGTCCTGAACCATACAGACAACAATTCAGATTTGACAGAATGCCGACTGCGAAATAAAATGAGGTGCAATTATGTATTAGGCAAATGTGCCAAAAGCAGATTTTTTCCCCCACGTTTCTCAGAATCTCATTTCAATACATTCTACAATATGTTACTCCTTGATTGCCTGACTTCCCAATCTAAATCTACAAAGACAGTCTGAACTAACTCTTCTTAAAAAGCTTTAAAATTTGACAGCTCTGCAAAGACAAATTTAAGAGTATTACAAGAATGATATATTCAGAGCTGAAAAGCAATGTAGCGTAAAAAATGAAATTAAGGAATTTGTCTATGTACTGTACCTTTCCTCCATTTGCTTTGTGGCATCAATCATCTGGTTAGCCTTTTGTTCCAGAGAATTTATCATTTCAGCCTTCTGCTGTGCTGTCCCCTCAGAATTCTAAGCAACAATTCATCAAAAAAAAAAAAAAAAAAACAAAAATAGGAATGATCTACAACACTAACTCTGTCACCAGACATTTACTAGGCATTCTTCTGCGGACTTTGGCTTCAACCAAGAGTACTTTATGTACAATTTTTGACATACTATTATAGAACAGACATTAAATGATAGACAGAACATGCTGCATATAGATTTATCAAGGATTTTAAAAAAAACTGTTGTGAACAGACACTTGAGCTGCCACAACTACTACTTCATAAAATTCCAACAGATATTAAACATGAAGCGTTCTCAGAACACTAATATACAAATGTAACTAATGAGTAAATACTGCTTCTTCCAATTGCAAAAGGAAACAAGTCATTAATTTAAAATGGATATCATGGCGAGTGGTAGGGTAGCAAAGAGCAAAAGACAAAGACGACAAATTCCTATGATTCTAGACTATGGTTGTTTTGATCGTAACAGAAACGAAGCAATATAATTAATTATATCCCATAATTTGTACCCTCTAATATCACTGCCTTTGCTTAAGGACCAAGGATAGCCCCTTCTCACTTATTGCTTCACCTTAGCTTTCTGAAACATCTGCAAATTGATAGCCTTGACTTCTTCCAACTGTTGTCGGAGTGCTACTAGCGTATCTTGCTTCTCATGTGTATCCTTCTCCAGTAGCTTCATGGCTATTTCCATTTCTTGTTTCAAGCTCATCTGTAGTTCTAATTCTTTCTCCAGTTCCTGAGTAGAAATTACATACACCCCTTCAATCATCAAAACTGAATTCAAAAGGTGCAAACAAGTGACAATATAGGTTTGAAAAGTTAAATGAGAGCTTGGCTGTACTAGATTTTTCTTCAGGGGCCACTATAGAATGGATTTAGGAATTGACAGAATCAAAAATGAACATATCTACAGAAAGGTTCAGTGTTAAATCCAGGTAATCTTCAGAATTTTAAGTCAGAATTGAAATACACGAACTAAAAAGTTATCAAACATAAAAGTTGTGAAAAATTTGTATAGTTACTGTTTCTTTAAGCTACTTCAAAAACGGAGCACAATTATCCTTTATATTTACCACGCGAATTTTTCTCTCTTCTTTCAGTTGTTTCCAGACTTCATTGTACATTTCATCTAGACCTTGACGAGTTTGTTTGTACGTTTCCAGTTCTACTTCAGAATCTTGTCTGCTCACCTGATAAAAACATTGGAAAGTATTCAAAAACGATGAAAACAGATTGCAATTTCAGTAAGTGGTCATAGTTAGAAAAGGAGAGAAGAGCTTGTTTATCCAGAAAATTTTGCTGATCTAGGAGGTACTGTGTGAAAGATTACTCGCAAAGTAATTTTTACAAGGATATCAGACATATAGTCATAGAATCAGCGTCACACAGCATGGAAACAGACCCTTTGGTCCAACTAGTCCATGTCAGCTATGTTCCCAAACTAAATTAGTCTCACTTGCTGCATTTGCCCCATATCCCTCCTGACTTTTCCCATTCATGTACTTATCCAAATGTCTTTTAAACATTGTAACTGTACCAGCATCCACCACTTCCTCTGGTAGTTCATTCCACACATGAACCACGCTTTCTAAAAAACAAAAAGGCGCCCCTCATCCTTTTTAAAAACTTTCTGCTCTCACCGCTAGGTTTGAATTTCCCCACCTTAGGGAAAAGACCCTTGCTATTCACCTTACCTATGTCCCTCAATTTTATAAGCCTCTATAAAGGTCACCCCCTCAACTTCCTATGTGCCAATGAAATATGTCCCAGCCTATTATAATAACTCAAACCCTTCATTGCAGGCAGCGTCCCGGTAATTTTTTTCTGAACCCTGTCCAGTTTAATAATATCCTTCCTGAAAAGGAAGGAAACTTAAGGGCCTGGGGAAAGAGGATAACGTGGACTAATGTGATGGCTTTTCAAACAAACAGTCAATGAAAACAGTACTCCAAGTGATGAACTGGGTCACTGACAGGGCTATCAAGCAGCACTTTTCAATAATAACCTGGTGATCATCAGTTTGGGTACCAGGGCCACTCAGCTCCTGTCCTCATTACAGGTTTGGTCCAAACATGGGCAAAAGCATTGAACTCCAGAGGGGAGGTGGAGAGAGTGACAGCCTTTGACTTCAAGGCAGCATTTGAGTGTGTTTGGCACCAAGGGAATTAGGAGAAGCTCTCAACACTTTGTCAAAAGGACATTAGCAAAGGTGTTCCTCAATATAGATATTTTCAATCAGTTAAGAGTTGTACAGATATACAGCATGGAAACAGATGCTGACCAGATATCCTATATAAAATCTAGTCCATTTGCCAGCATTTGGCCCATATCCCTCTAAACCCTTCCTATTCATATACCTATCCAGATGCCTTTTAAATGTTGTAATTGTACCAGCTTCCAGCACTTCCTCTGGCAGCTCATTCCATACACGCACCAGCCCAAGTGAAAAAGTCACTCCTTAGGTCCCTTTTATATCTTTCCCCCCTCACCTTAAACCTACGCCTTCTAATTTTGGACTCCCCCCACCCCACCCCAGGAAAAAGACCTTGCATATTTATCCGATCCACGCCCCTCATGATTTTATAAACCTCGAAGATCACCCCTAGTCTGCGACGGTCTGGGAAAATAGCCCCAGCCTCTCCTTATAGCTCAACCCCAAATTGTGTCTGAAGCACAGAATCAGGCCTCCTGGCTCAGAAGTAGGGAAACTACTGCACCACAAGAGCAATGTCCTGGGTCTAATCATCTTCAGCTGTTTCAATTATGTTCCTGCATCATAGTACAGTCACACATCTGTACAGCAAACATCACCAAGCCTCAGTTACTGAAGCAGCCCATGTCCATATGCAGTATTCAGACTAAAACTGCAAAGTGGCACATAACATCTATGCCACACAAGTACCAGGCAATGATCATTTGCAATGACAGAGAATCTCACCCTCTTTCCTTGATTTTCTATGGCATTACCATCATGGGGTTCTTCATTATTAATATCCTTGGGGTTGCCACTGACCTGAACTAAACCAGCCATATGAATATTATAATAAACAGCAGGTCAGAGACTAGGAAATCTAGAGAGTGTATTCATCTTCTAACTCCCTATGCCCATCCACTATCTACAAAGACACAAGTCAGGAGTTTAACTGAATATTCTCCAATTGTCTGGATGAGTCCAGTCCCAACAATACTCAAGCAACTCAACCATCCCGAAAAAAAGCAATCTGCTTGATTGGTACCCCAGCTACCATCTTCAACATTCACTCCCTTCACTACTTTACAGTAGCAGCACCTGCAAGATACACTGCAGTAACTCACAAAGGCTCTTCCAACACTCTGCTAGATGGTCTCTTTCTATGCTGGATGATCCTTAAGGGCTAGTGAGACACTAAAATATGCCAGAAAACAAATTAAATGCATGGTAGCTAATGACCTGGACAATTATTGACTGGATGCTGGCATTGCTCAAAAAGCTAACTATTCCGTAAATTGTAGCTAATGTAAAAGCATCTGGAGAGCAGTGCAACTGAGTGCAGCTGTTCCTTTATCCCAAATAGGCGATACACATTTTGCAACAAGGTACAAATTAAAGTGAAATCTACCTAACCTTTTCACATTTCCCTCAAATCAGGAGGGAACCACAATATTTCCCCACATAGCAGCTTGACGACATCAGTTAACTTAGTGGGAAACAAATGGATCATTTGGTCAGCTTGGCTTATAAATGCCCTTATTCAGAAGATAGCAGGGAAGCTCCACGACTGCTGAGTTAAGCCAAATCACGTGAACTCAAACAAGAAATGTATCTTGGATCTTCTCGTTAGGACGGTATTGCAAGATTAGCACTTCTTAAAAAGTTGTGTTTCCTTGAGATTTTCTTGAAAAAGGCAAAGGTATTTTCTAAACATTAAAACTGTCCTCTCTTGTACTTGTAAACATGTCAATTCATGCAAAATTATTGTTTAAATTGAACTCAAGGAGCCATTTAGGAAACCAGTAGTGTATTCAGTATTTAATCAAAACTGAGCCCATCCCTACTTTCATAGCTGAATTAACCTTTCACATGTTCAGATAATCAGTGCCTTGTCCTCCTTTTAGCCCAGGGCTGAAGAGGATAATTGTCCTGCCTGAATGGAAACCAAAACTAAAATCTAATGATAGTCATTACGAAAAGTGCATTTCAAATTGGTCAAGTCAAATAAAACATGTTCTTGGATTGAAACCAACATGCTAGTTGATGAAAAAAATTATTTGCCAAATAAGATTTCTGCTGAGTGTAACGCATTAAAGCTTCATGTTTTGGGAACTTACAGCATAGAAGGAGATTAGCCTGTTGTGCTTGTACCAATACTTTGACAGAGCAGTCATGCTTGGTACCACATTTTGTTCATAACCCTGCAAGATCCTCATTAAGTGCCATCAGAGAAATCTACAACACAGAAAAAGGCCTGTGGCCTACTGCGTTTGTGCCAATCAAAAACCACCACCTAACTTGCTATTATTACCTCAACAGTCCGACAACTTTGAAAAATTTTTTTAAAAAGTTTGTGTAAAATTATTTACAAAAGACCTAAAGTTGACACTGAATGAATCAATAACAACTGGAGCAAGACAGCAAAAGAACAGGCATTATTTAGTCTTATCAAAATCTGGACTGAAAACTTGTGTTAGGTCACCTCCTAACTATATTTGTTGCAAGGAGGACTTTTCCAACTTCTACTCACAAGTGACCTCCGTCATTCTGGTAACATTGCAGTGCACCTCCGCTTAACCTTTTCCAGGAGTTTTATTTCTTTCCTGAGAATGTGGTGCCTGAATTGTCCATAATACTCCAGCTGAGACCTAACCAGGTTATTTATGAAATTAGAACAATTTATTTGACAATGCCTTTTAAAAACTGCAGATACAGATATACGCACACATCCCTCTGCATCACCAATCTTCTGTATTAACCCAAAATAAACCAAGATGGTCAGATAGGATTTGCCTTTAACAAATCAATGCTACATCTCTGATTAACCCATACCAGATCAAATTAAGGTTTATTCAGTCTTAAGAGAAAATATAATTAAATGACCTCAATTCTTTCTACAGCAGATAAAGGGCTACTGAAAGCCAGTTTAGCACATCTCAGAATATTGCAATAGCTCTTTTGACCAACCTCTACTCGACGTTCACTTGTTTCAAGGATCGATGAATTTTCTTGCTTCAATTGATTCTGCTCCTCCTGAAGAGACTGAATTCTATCATTTGCTGCTGCAAGCTGCAAAAATAATCAAAACAAGCACAGAATCAGACCACACACTTAAGATAACATATTTTCAACACCAGAAAAAGACCTGATCATTACTATTTACCTCTTCCATTAGTTTTGCATTAGTTTTTTCCAATGAATCCAGTTTTGTCTGTAGATCAGAAACTGTACCACTGTTTCAGAAACAAAAAAATCAGCTGATGTTATTTTTAGTTGATGCAAGACATCAACATACCCAGACCAAGTCAAGAGGTGAAATGCAAATGATTAGTTACTAACAGGTGACTGTTAGTGCACTGCAATGAAATTTCAAAAATGGTATTCAAATTTAATCATTTTTTAAAAATAAAAATCTAGAGGGACCATAGAGTACACTTGCTGAAATTAACACAAAATAAAAATTTGGTACAGCAAGCATGTAGAACAATAAAGATTTTTGATGGTTCACCTCAAGTGTCTGTTGAGTTCTTCCACATAATGTTTCTGATCCAGGATATTAGTGAGTTCGGAGTCCCTGCAGGTCAATAAATAGTAAAATCAATAATAGACTGTTGATTTTTGAACACTCCTTTAGCCAATCTTGTCTTTCGCAGTGCATTCTGGTTCCACAATGTGAACATTTTAAAATGGCTGCTGCAGAATTTTCCACTCTTTGCTCATTTTGTCAGTCTTTTGAATGGGTGGGGCTGTCATTTGTGGACCTGCCCAACAAAGTTACAACCAAAAATTTTGATATTTCCAGAGTATGACCCGATTTTGCATCCTCAGTTTGGTCTCACATTGTATTGAGCCACTTGCACAAGTACAAGGTTGTCTTTTGTCTGCAAAGTCCAAAAGCTTTTCATTGAGTTTTTTATTTTTCAATGCATTGCATTGAAAAAGTCAGAGCCAAATGCTATCGGTACTGCTGTACTAGCTAAAGTTTTATGGCTAACCTTCCAATGAAGGATGATTTGACAGACTCTCCCTGGCCTTTAGGACTGCCATCATACTCGCTTAATCATGGAAGTTCCAGCTGAGGCCCAAGTAAACATTGTGAGGACCACATCTTCTTAATGTTCTTTATTTTTGGGCTGTGAAGCAGAATAGCTACCACTTTTGTAATTATTTTACTAGAATCATTTGCAGCTTGCAAAGCCAACAAGTGCCTGAGAAATTATGTTACAGTTCGGGGGATATCGAAGCCAGACAAATTGTCTGTGTTCGATGCAATTTTGCCCAGAGACGCTGGCTTGGTTGGCTTTTCCACTGACCAGTTAGTGTGGTTGCAAGAATGCTCAACAACAGTAACTGGATTGGTTGATATCCAGTTGATGAGACTGTGCTTAAGTAACAGAGCAGAGAAAGGTCTGAAGGGAAAGCATCAAGATAAAGCTCTCTCTCAATCCGGTTTATAAGATGGCCCAGAATAGCCAGATCCTGCAAGCTGTTCTCACCCACTTTTTCCTCTAACTCCTCTCTCTGCACACCCTGTCAAAGGATGGTGAAAAAAAGTCTTCATGGTTATTGAAAGGATCAATTCTCAACCAGTGACTGGAAGACAACATTGCTGACAACACAAGGTTGTTTGTGCCAAAAGACTGAAAAGGGATTGAAGAAAACAGGAAGATGTCAAGCTAAAATAACTAATGGAATCCTGTACTCCAGATTGGCACTATTGCCTGCTTTTCTTTTAAAAACACTCAAAATCCATACCTTTGTTATATCTGTCTGTATATGTGGGTATTTAAGAAAGGGTAGTTTGTGTGTTTTCATTGGTAATTCATTTTTGTCACCAGTTAAAGATAATTTGTTTGCAATAAACAGTTTTGTTCTGATTAAGTACAGAAACCTGATGGCATATTTACTTTCAATCTAAATTAGGCAGTTAGGTAAAACTGGGTAATTTTGTGATAATCAAACATGTTCACCTTTGTTACAACTCTGGAAAGAGCAGGGTTTGATTTCCAGCAAGCTACACCAGTGGCCTGTAATAGCATAAAATGTTTTAGGACGTCTTCAAAATCTACAGAGGATTCTTCTGCTCATATCTGCCGAGGTCCTTTCTGCATACAGGAACATACTAACCTGGTTCTTCTGCTCTTTGGTATGCAAACCTAATGTTGTTCAATACCTCTGGAACTGTCCTTTCCATAACTCTGAACAGTGCTGTCTGTACCTGTGAAGTTCTCAAACTGCTATGGAAGAAACAGTGACTACTCAACTGAGGTGGACATTGTGACTGATTCTCAGATTGCCTCTCACCACAATAACGGTCTTAATTTTTTCTTTGAAGTTGTCCTTTGATTGGAATCAACAAAAACAAACAAACAAACAAACAAACAAAGTGATGGCATTGTTAAATTGAGGTTGTCACCAGTGCCACATTAGTTTATAGTTTGGTCCCCTTTTTGGGTGAACTGTGGCCTGGTATATATTAGGAAAGCTTCCCCTACCCAAGGATGACTACTCTCTGATTCTGATAGGTTTCTGCCAAACTCTATTCAGCTACACTAAAATACATATGTAGTGATAGTGCATCTCTCTGGTACGGATTGTTCTTGCTCACTTCTCAGACTCTAGCATACATCTACTGATGTCACTGTTACACCACAACATATTTGGAACACTGTCAATTGACTCTCAGATTTTCTGTTTTTGGGGTAGCAGAAAGGAAATCACAAAACTATGGTCTTGTCCATCAAACCAGGTGATCCTCACGACATATCGGCACAATCTTTTATACAATCCTACTCTAGTAAAAAGTGACCATTACCTTCTGGAAGATAGGCGTGAAGTGGAGAAAAAGTTAAGTAAAATATTTTAGTTACATGTAATAGTCCGCAGACCAGTCAACATAGAATAGGCTTGTTAATAACACGTGCTAGATCAAATATTGGATTAGAATTAGATTTTATTGTCACGTGTATTCAAGCACAGGGATACAGGAGTACAGTGAGAAGTATACAATACTGCCATTCCTGATGCCATCTTAGGTAAAAACGTACCTTGGTACAAAGTAGAAAAATAAGGAAATATAGTTAAAAGTTGAACATTAAAATCCTTAATTCTAGATCTAGATTCTAGGTTGATTGGGAAAAAAAGTCAACGAAAACAGAAAATAAAACTAAAGTGAGCTAGTCAAGTCTGCATTGGTAAATGCCGTTTTGCAGCACAAAAGGAAGTATCACTTTTGAAATAGCTCCTTCTCAAATTTGGTTATTAATATGCACAACTGTGGAGGTACACAAGGGACAACAATTTTATTACAACTTGTAAAAATACAAAAATCCACCATTTTAAAAATTTACACACCAGTGGATTTGACTACTCACTGTCTGCAGTCAGCGTGATCCTGAGTTCCATCTTTAAGATACAGTGAGAAGTCAATCACCCCAACCTGAAAGTCAAAATCGATAAATCTATTAGAATGAACTTGTGTAAACAGAAAACCAAATTGAGCTCAGTGGTTTCTTTACAAAAGTCTTTCTTTTTGGTCTGAATCTAAAATATTTTTAACCATAACTTTTAAAGTACTAATTCTGAAACAGAGGTATGTAGCGCCCAGGGGGTCTGCACAAACAAAAATCTCTCCAGTCAGCAAGAGAGATAAAAACACAAAAGGAGTAAAAGGCTGGCCACCCATTTAATATGATGGCAGTTAACCTTCATCTTACTCAAACAGTAATAAACTACCTGTTTGCAAAGCTTCTGAATACACTGCCTCTTTCAGAGCGATAGGCACATTGGTGTTATGGTTTTCAGCAATGAATCTCTCATTTACTTCTTTGGAGGAGGAAGGAGAGGGGAAGGTGGGAGACCAGGAACTGCAGTGATTAGAGGTGCATTCAATTTGAACTCAAGCAGTGAGCAAGTGCCATTAAAGCAGTCCCTGGCTGCTGTGCATTTCCATTAACTTCTGATATATTATTGGATTTTTTTAAAAAGTCATGGAAAAGCAGTCACCAGGATTGTACTTATGCAAATTCCTTACATAATTATATAACTGACAATGGATTTAGACAGATCTGTAAAATATTCTAGACGGTGTCATATACACCTAAGTACTCTGCAATAGAATTGTAGGAACAGAAATTAAGGTTTGAGATTTCTAAACAAACTAAAATACTAACCTGCTTTAAACATATTGAACATGTAAAAACTAATGAGTTTGCTGTTAAAATTGATTTGACTAATAATTGCACTGGATGTGATCAGTGAACTGATCGTCTGTCAACAGCATACATAGCCATCTTTAACCACATTTAGAGCAGTTCATTTAACAGGCGCAAGGGTGTTAAATTCCATTCAGGTGCAACATCAGGAGTGGTAAAGGTGAAACTGCAAATCTCAATGATCAATATAGATCCAAATTTTAGATCCAAATAATCAGAAAGGTATTATTGAAGCAAAGATGAGAGTTGTATACGGAGATCCTGTGAAATCCCCATTATCAGACTTCAAAAAGGAATCTCCTCAGAAATTGAAGATTCTGTTGGTCATTCCCCTACACCTGGAATCCTCCAAAAGTATCCATATAGGTCAGAATTTGACAGGTTCTGATGAAAAATGGATCAATTTACTCAGGAAAAGTTAGACTATTAAATACATAATCCAACATCCGAGAGAGTATTCAATCGACTCCACGTTCCCTCATACACCTCCAAATACACATCGCATCCAGACACTTACACTACCACCATTACACGGCTCCCTACTTTCCCTTGTTCCAGACCCATTCTCCCTTTCATACCAGGAGTTGGCCTTTCCTTACCCCGTTCCATACCCCATCTGTCTCCACACCAACCCTAGGCATTCCCCTCCACCACCTGCCATGTTGAGCTGCCTTCTGACATGATTTCTCTCACCCATCCTGAACTACACTAAATACTGCCCATCACTTACTTGGCCTCTTGCCATCTTACACCCTACACACCTGGCACCATACTTGCTTGGCATCCTATCTTCACTTACCTCATTTGCTTATTTTTGACAGCAGCGGTCAAAATGGCAGTCCATGATTCTGGATCTTTAATTTCAGAATATGGCAGCTGACTGCAGTGAAAATGGGGTATATAGTTTGCCTTTTCCAAACAGTTCTTTGTGACAAGAGAACTGTCAGAAGGGATGTAGAGAATTGCATTTCTGAAAGAGCCAAGACTGGAAATTCCTGTGAAATGTAATGTGCTCTCCTTTGGGGGGGAAAAAAAAAAAAAAGGGGCACGGCGTATCTGGCCCATAGCTTCTCAGGAAGGAAGCCAGAGTGACTTACGAGACACCACTCCGACATATATTCATCTTCGTAACGCTTCAGGAAGATTACAGTAACAATAGAAAACACTGTCAAGGATTCTCAGCTTTTAAAGGATGCTTTCTGTAATGCTATTACCTTTACTAGTGGTGTGAGGGAAACTACAACTTAGATTCTGTGCATTTAACCTTTTCCAAAAACGGAGTTCTTAAACATGCAGAAAGAAATATTCAAAGTTCCATATTAAATGTTGCAGGTGGAGACTCTCCTTACGAATTACGCAGTCAAGTACACATGCTGCAGTGGACCCACCAGAATCATGAAATATTTATAGCATACAATAAGGCCATTCAGCCCATTATGTCTGTGCTAGCTTGCTGGGAGAGAAACTCAACTTATTCCACCTCTTTTCTTCAAGCATTGAGAGCATTTTCACTTCAAACAATCAGTTCAATCCTCTTTTGAAAGCTTGGATTGAATCTGCATCAACCACACTCAGGCAACGCATTCCAGGACCTAACCACTCCCTACATTATAAAAAGCTTTATACTGTGTCATAATTTGCAAATTAGTATGCTTTACTTCTCTACCCTTCCAGCAATGGGAGCAGTGTCTTTCTTTCTCCCGACACCCATGATGTTTAAAGTCTCTATCAAATCATCTCAAGTTTCTCTTCTCTAACAGGAACAGCACAGTTTCTCTAATCAATCCACATGGTGGAAGTCTCACATTCTTGGAACTATTCTATTGAATCTTTTTTGCACCATCTCCAATACCTTCACATCTTTCCAGAATAGCACACAAAACTACAGAAGAAAAAGGATTTATTATTTTTTGAAAAGGGTTTCATACAGGTTTGCTACATCTTCTTTGTTTATGTTCTCCATGCCTCTATTGATAAAGCCCAGGATCCCATAAGCTTTATTCACTACTTTCTCAACATGTTTTGGCACCTTCAAATGATTTGAGCACATGTGCCAGCAGGTTGCCTTGTTGCTGCACCTTCTTTAGATTTGGGCCTTTGGCTTACAGAGTCATACAGCACAGAATCAGAGCTTTTGGTCCAACCAGTCCATTCGGAACATAATCCCAAACTAAACTAGTCTCACCTGCCTGCTCCTGGCCCATATCCTTCCAAACCTTTCCTATTCATGTACTTATCCAAATGTCTTTTAAACGTAGTGGTACCCACATCCACTACTTCTCTCAGGAAGTTCATTCCACACACCAACCACCCTCTCCAAAAAACAACAAAAAATGTCCCATACGTCATTTCTAAAATCTCACTCCTCAAAAAAAAAAAAAAAAAAAAAAATTGCCCCCTAGTCTTGAAGTCCTCCATCCTAGGGAAAAGACAACTACCGTTAACCCCATCCATGCCCCTCATTACTTTATCAATTTCTATAAGGTCACTTCTCAACCTCCTACATTCCAGTGAAAAGAGTCCCAGCCTATCCAGCCTTTCTTTGTAACGCAAACCTTCCATACCTGGCAACATCCTGGTAAGTCTCTTTTGAACTCTCTCTAGCTTAAATAATTCTTTTATATAACCGGGCAACCAGAACTGGACACAGTATTCCAGAAGAGACCTCACCAGTGTTATGTACAACCTCAATAGGACTTCCCTATACTCAAAAGGACTGAGCAATGAAGGCAAGCTTGCCAATTGCCTTTTTAACCACCCTGCCTATATCTGAGGGAAACTTCAAAGAATTATGTACCTGAACCCCTAGGTCCCTCTGTTCTACAACACTACCCAAGGCCCTACCATTCATTGTATAAGCCCTACCCTTCTTTGTTGTACCAAAATGCAACACCCCACAGACCGAACTCCATCTGCCATTTTTCAGCCCATTGACACACTTGATCTTGATCCCTTTGTAATCTTAGAAAACCTTCTTCACCGTCTACTATGCCACCAATTTTGGTGTCATCTACAAACTTACTAACCATGCCTTCATATTCTCATCCAAATCATTTACACAGTATAAATTACAAATGAAAGAGGACCCAGAACCAATTCCTGTGGAATCAGAATTATAGAATCCCTACAGTGCGGAAACAGGCCATTCAGCCTAACAAGTCCCCACCGAACATCCCACCCAGGCTTACCCCCCACAATCCCTGTAACCCTGCATTTCCCATGGCTAGCTCACCTAACTCACACATCCTTGGACACAATAGGCAATTTAACTTGGCCAATCCACCTAACCCTCACATATTTGGACTCCGGGAGGAAACTGGAGCACCTGGAGGAAATCCACACACAGTGACAATGCGTAAACTCCACACAGACAGTCGCCAGAGGCTGGAATTGAACCGGAGTCCCTGGTGCAGTGAGGCAGCAGTGCCAACCACTGAGCCACTGTGCCACCCTTAAACACCAGTGGTGACAGGCCTCCAGTCCAAAAAGCAATCCTCCATCACCATGCTCTGTTTAATATTGCCACTCTTCATTCTTCCTACTTCAAGTTTCCCTTCATTAAATTTCAAATGGAAAATTAAAAAAAGTGCAGTCAAATTCCATTGAGGTACAAGATTAGAAATGCGATTCAGTGAAACTAGGATAGTCAACTATTAATATAGTTCTCACAAAGAAAACTATAACGACTTACTACATGACTCATACATATATCCATAATCATATGTCAGGACTACTTTACAATAATGGAAAGCATGGCCAAAGATTATCAGCTAGTTTTTCCTTTGGATATTTACAGTCAGTGTTAGTCATTCTCAGTACGTTCATTTGAAAGAAATATAAATTTAACACAAAATTAAAACATTCAAATGAATCTCTCCATCTTAAAACACTTAACTAATACTAGCAAAACTGTGTAGATGTTGGAAATCTGAAAACAGAAAATGCCGAAATGCTCAGTGGCTCCGGCAACGTCTGAAAAGATTTCCCTATGGACCCTTAAAGGCGTTAACATTAAATCAATCTCTCTGTGGAGTTCATGGAGCATGAGGTCTCTTGGTAGTAGGCAATGGCCTGTCCGGCTGGAATTCATCACCTAAGCCCTTTGTAAAGAAGGCCCAAGTGGTGATGTTCACATCAAGTATCCTTGGAAAGGGAGCATGTCCATCAATGCTCTAGATGCCTTCAGGGAGAGCTAGGCACTGTGGGGGATACAGTGCTTTATTTCCCCCACCAACTCCATTTTGAATTAGCCCCTTCCCTGTCTCCCCAACTCCCCCTCACTTTCAATAGTTTGTATTGCCCATATTGGGCTTTGCTTGTAAATATTAAATTGGTTACACTGGTGATTACTGGTCATAGTTAGTAGTCTTAAAACATGAACACAAAAACTGTCAGTGATTTGGGTGTGGGAAGGTTACTCAGAGCGTGAAAGCGCTTCTTGCTATTTAAAAAAAGAAAAGAAGAAGTAATGCAGATCCAGTGAGGGCTCTTGTGGAACAGTGGTGGTATCCCTAGGTCTGATCAAGGAAACCTAGGTTCAAGTAGCACCTGCTCCATAGGTGGCTAATAACATCCCTGAACAATTGTTCTGATAAGAGGTCACTGATCTGAAAAGTTAACTTGTTACTTTGTCCACAAATGTTGTCTGACCTGTTGCGTATTTCTAGCCTTTACCATTTTAATCTTGATAACTGACAGATTTGTTCAACAGGTCATTTAAATGCAAGTGAACTTGAACTTATTCAACGACTATATTTTAAAAAAACCTACACTGAAATCCCTATATTTCTCACATTCTGAATATACCAAATGAATTTTAAAGAATGTGTTATTTAAATGCTGGTATTTCTTAAAGGGGCAAGTGATCAGAAAGTTAACAATAAACAGTGCTAATTATCATGTTTTGCGACAGAGAACAGAAAAGATCTAATATTGTTTGTTTTTCTGTATAAAGAAACAGGAATATGGAGACAAGACTTTGACACACAGAATCTTTCAAATAAAGCAGATATATAAACTCTTCGAGAAGCAGCAATTCTTAAAATAAACAGCAAGCAAATTCCAGAACATTTCTGCAACAAAAGCAGGGTTTTAAAAAAAACTAGTACAGAATATCAATTATTACCTGAGAATCCAAGTCTTCTCCTTTTAAACAAAGATTTGCATCAATAACTGTAAGGCCCACCAGCAGGCCAACAATGATTGCTCCTTCATCATGCATCATCAGTGCATTTGGTTCATAGAATTCACTACAGTAACAAAATGCATCAATTAATTCAAAGCAATTTAATTTGACAACTGGCATCCATTTTACTACAGAACAGTATGAATAAGTCATAAAAAGGATTTGAACTTCTAAAACAATTGTTAGCATATATCTTCCATTTCACTAAGCAAATTCCCCACTTTTCAAACAAATAAAATTGTATCATGCAATCTAATTTCAGAGCAACACCAGGTTAGTAACTAAGTGTAATTAAGAATTTTAAAACTCTAAACTTCAAAACAATATTACGTTCACACATCTAATATAAAAGAAAACAATGAATGCTTTCAAGATTCTGGAACTATTGCAATCCGTGGTGCTGTCAACATGACATCATGACACTATTGAATGGAACCAAATTTGACGTGATGACCCAACAGTCACCTACATAAAACTCGATTCCTCTTCCAAAATATTTAATGACATCATACACAGAATCCTGAGTAAGCATGAAAAACTGGTGAACAGTGCAAATGTGTGATAAAAATGAACATCTTAGAATTCTCAAGCTGGATACACTGAAGACATTTGAAAGGCTGCTTCTGTGAAGTTCACTGAGCTCCAAATATTGAAAGTAAATATAACAAAAAGCTATTAATAGATCAGGCTGAAGAAAACCATGCAGCACACAGGAGTGCTGGAGTCAATTTCCATGCATCCCAGCTCTGAATATCTCAATCAAACCATCTTTTTATTTTGTATTTCAAATCCCCTCACCCCATGGCCAGGTAACCACTCACCATCTGGGATTTGAACCCAGGTCCCCAGAACATTACCTTGGTCTCTCTAGATTAATAGTCTAGTGATAATAGCACTAGACGATCACCTCCCCTAACTACATTACCTTTGCCATATTACAAAAGCCGAGGAACCACAGTAGCTAATTAAAACTGAAAATCAACACATCAAGCATGGCTGCATCTATGTTAATTAAATATAGGTCAGTATAATTTGTTTTTGGGGAGGGAGCTGATGGAGAAAATGGTAGTTATTATAATTAAACAATGTCAAAGTTCTGGAGTTAATGAGTTAAAATGTGAAATGATACAAACAAACACACTTTGTATTGATCTGCAGATAGCAAGGTCTACAGATGCTGGAAGTTAGAGTCGATAAAACGTGGAGCTGGAGGAGCACAGCAGGTCAGACAACGGCTGAGGAGCAGGAAAATCAGACCTGCTGTGCTCCTCCAGCTCCACATTTTAATCAATTTTACATTGATCTAGCAGTCCGATCAGCAAACACTGCAAAGGAAAAATAGATGAAAATTATAGAAAAGTTAGAGCATTGACGATTATAGTTATAAATGCAAATTCAATTATCCAAAAAAAATAGCAAAGGTAAGATGGAAAAGTAAT